AGGGCCGAGCTGCCTGGCCCTGCCTGTGCCTGCCAGCCTGACGCCCGGGGGGACACACCCCACTCCACCTAGCGGGTCGTCCCTGGAGCTGGCGGGTGGGGTACCAGCCTTTCCCCTGTCACTATGTCACACTGTGAAGGACGGGGGAGGGGGAGGGTGGCTGCTGGCTTCGGAAGCTCCTGCTGCTTTGGGGGAGGGGGCACACCTGGTGGTGCTCAGGGCTTACTCCAGGCAGGGCTCAGGCTCGTCCCCTGCTCCCAAAGGTGCCAGCTGCCGATAGCTGGTTTGCGTTATCTTCTCCCCCCCCTTCCCTCCCTTTCCCTTTTTCTGTGGCTGCCGTGAGGTGGTGTCTGGGCCCCCCTCTTGGCAGAGCGCTGTGACTGGGCCGCCGCACGCTCCCGGGTTCACACACCCCACATGGGCACCAGGGGTCCAGGAGCCACCAAAGTCGCACTCAGCCAGTGAGTTCAGGGTGCTGTGCTCCCGGCAGCCCCACTGTGGAGTCCCCCAGACCCTGCCATTCTCTCTCCCTCTCTCTCTCTCTCTGTCTCTCCTGTTTTGGGGTCACACCTGATGATGCTCAGGGCTTACTCCTGGCTCTGTACTCAGGAATTACTCTTGCGGTGCTGGGGGGACCATATGGGATGCCGGGGATCGAACCCACACCAGCCGCATGCAAGGCAAACACCCTACCCGCTGTGCCATCACTCCAATCCACTCCCTCTCCTTTATGGTTTTGGGTCATACCCAGCAGTGCCCAGGGCTTACTCCTGGCTCTGGGCTCAGGGCTCACTCCTTGTGGGTCACCACACACAGAACCAGGCATTAGGCCAGGCCCAACGATGTGCCAGACAAGCACCAGAACCGCTGCACTATCTGGCCCTTACCATGGTCTCTTTGGCAAACACCTCTGCGAGGGAGGGAGGCAGGGGGAGGTTCGGAGCTTCTAGACAGGGAGGAGGTGGGGGAGGGTGTCGCTGCTCCCAGGCTGTTGTCCTTCTAATGTCCAGCAGAATGGCACCCCACCTTCAGCCAGAAGCCGCACCTAGAATGGCCAACAGCGGCTTCTAGCGTTGTCATGGTGCCTCTGAGCAGAGCTGTCACCCAGATGGGTTGCAGCAGGAAGGGCGGGCACGGAGACCTGGACGGCAGAAACAGGAGGGACAGGTGGACAGGAGAGCGTCAGGGTTAGGGTCAAATGCGGAACTGCGCAGGAGAGACCGAGGCTGGCGGGGTGGGACCATCTGGAGGGGCTCCTTAGTCTCTGCCTCTCGTGACCCCTCTCTGCCCAGGGATGTAGAGCTATAAAGCAGGTTGCCTGGGGGCTGGAGAGATGGTACATGGGTTGAGATGCTTCCCTGACTTGATCCCCAGAACTTCATGCCCCCCAGTCCCTGCCAGGAGTAAGTCCTGAGTGTAACAGTGTGGCCCCCAAACAAACAACAAACACAAAACGATATTCAGAGCAGACACACTGATCAGTCAGGGAGAAATTTATTTAAAAACACACTCCCCCCCCAATGCTCGGGATGACTCGGGGCTCAGGGTAGCCATATGTGTGCCGGGACTGGCCCAAGCACGCTGCCTGAGGGCCAGCACCCACTGCTGGGCTATCCTTGGGCCCTTAAAGCACGTGTGTCCGATTGTCTGCACCCCCACATTCAGGCACGCGCTAGAGCAGGCAGCCACCTGCAGTAGAGAAGCGGGGGGGTAGGGCTCACTGGGTCACCCCCGCTCCAACAGGAGGGCAGGAAAGACGCGCCTGGCCATGGCACGGGACCTGAAGGGCTGATGGTGGCTCCCTGCGCCCGGCGGGCGGTCAGGGGCTCACCGAGGATGGAACAGAACCGCGGGGCCGAGGAGGTGGCATTGCGCAGGACAGACAAATCTACCGTGGAATAAAATGGTATTTTATTTTATTCTATTTTTGGGTCACACATGGCAATGCACAGGGGTTACTCTTGGCTCTGTACTCAGGAGTTACTCCTGGCAGTGCTCAGAGAACCATGTGGGATGCTGGGAATTGAACCCGGGTCAGCTGCGTGCAAGGCAAACGCCCTACCCGCTGTGCTATCTCTCCAGACCCTTATTTTTTATTATTTTATTTAAAAATAAATATTTTAAATATTTATTTTATTTTCACTGTCACTGTCCTCCTGTTGTTCATCGATTTGCTCGAGTGGACCCAGTAATGTCTCCATTGGAGACTTTGTTGTTACTGTCTTTGACATATCGAATACGTCACGGGGAGCTTGCCAGGCTCTGCCGTGCAGGCGGGATACTCTCGGTAGCTTGCCGGGCTCTCCGAGACGGACGAAGGAATTGAACCCGAGTCTAGCCAGAGGAAACCTGCCCTCAGCTGTGAGCCTCGGAGGCCCCTCCTCTCTCTCCTGGCGCCACTCCCCTGCCCGGCCCCTCGGCACTCACACTGTGGCCTTTGCCCCCGTGTGGGCGCACGGTACCCACCACGGGCCGGGCTGCTGCGTATGGCGGCCGTCTGAAACAGCTCTCGTGAGGACCCTTGCTGGAGAGTGGGGATAATCCCTGGCACAGACAGCAGCAGTTTCAGTCTGTGAGAAAATCCACCGAGCAGAGTCAAACTCACTCACACCCACGGAGGGCGCTGACCACGCCGCAGAGCAGCATTCTCAGGCCAGACGCAGCCTTATAAGGTGGCCTGACACTTTCTCACGGCCCAGGCCGCCCTCCAAAAATATCCGGAGACAGGAGAGTGGGAACTGGCGCCTGGAACGTTTCGATATTCACAGGCCCAGTCCCCGTGGATCAGGAGCGCCAACACCTGCCCGAGCAGCCCCCCTGAGCACTCGCAGGCCAGGCCGAGGTTGGGAGGGCTCTGCAGGGGAGAGGGAACAGGCGGGGCCTAACAGGCGTCCACTCTGCGTTCTCCACTCCCAAGTGCAGCCTCCCGAACCCCTCCAGAAGATGCGTCCAAATGCCATCGCTTTATATGGACAATAAAGATCCGTGACTAATTTTCATGAGGGGCCTTTCAGCCGGCCTGGCTCCGCGGGCTCAAGCTGTGCCCAGGGCCTCTGCGTCCCAGCCCCGGTTGCTAGGGGGGCGCTGCCCCCTAGCGGGATGGACGCGGCACAGCAGGACGGAGGCGGAAAAGACTTTTGGGACTTCATGCGGCATCTGGAAAAACATCTGGCTTGCATCTACCAAGGTTCCAGGCAGATGCGGAAGCGCCGCTGTGGTAATAAGTCTGTGTTCTGGAATTAGTGGACGGAAACATGATTTTCAAAACAAAGATTCACTGGATGGCACCAGAGGCCCAGTCTCAGATGCTGGAGTTCTGCTTGTCAAACGTGGAGAACTGGGTGGATTTCAGGGAGTACTGAGGAAGAGATCAGTTTTGGTGGTGAAATTCAGTCATCTAACATATATTTCAATGAAAGAACTGGTCAAGACAAAACGAAACAGCACCCAACTACCCCATACGGCTCTTTCCTGACTGTTCCGGGGCCGGGTTGGTGGGGGGACATTAATTGGCACGGACTAATTTTGGCAATGGCTACTTAGAACCGTTTCTCACCACTGAACTGCATAACAACCAGCCAATCTATTCGAAAGGCTGCGTGTGTTCTAAGAACATGAAGAATGGCCAACTAGTCCTCATTCTTGTGAAATGGAACAGACCCACACAGAGTACCCGTGGGATGCTGCGTTCAAGAATGGGTCTCTTAACTACACCAGTTCCTCAGGCGAGAGCTTGTGTTAATACAGTAGGCATAACTGCCACAAAATATGACAACGACAACTTAGGAAGCCCTGGTTTCCATTACCACCCTAAGGTTGTGCTTTCGGGGTAGCCTGTGCCAGTAACTTTACCATCTGCTTCCTCAGTTTCGGCTGAAGCAATTTCTTTTCATAAATAACTGAAACAGATTGGACTCTGCATGGGGAGAGAGGTGATTCTAACCACCGTGCTGGTAATACCGGGTCATTCAGAATCCTAGTGTTCCCCTGGGGAAGAGGCTCTGGGACTCGCGTGCTGGTTCACTGTGAACCCGAGGGGTGCCATGTACTTCTAGAGCCACAAAAAGGGGCAAACGGAGGGTGCCCAGCAGGCCAGAAGGGGCCTGGCTGAGTGCAGTGGACAGTGTCCTCTCTCCACTTGCTGCTGAACTGCAGGACATGGAAAGCTCCTCTGTACGGGGTATTTTTTTTAGGACGAGGTCCTGGTTCACATCTACTCCTAATAGAAAGTCAACATCGATGGGGCAGGGATTTCCCTCAGTGGCACGTTGACACCCACGCTGCCTTTGGTGTTAACTAAGCCACATTCAGGTGTGAGCCACTGGTGGGGCACACCAGCACTGTGTCAGACGTGGCCGCAGAGGCTGCGTACTGGCTCTGCTGGTAGCCGACCAGGATTAGATCACCAGCATCACAGACTGTTCCTCGAACACCACCAGGAGTGAACTTTGAGCTCAGAGTCAGGAGTAGGATCTGAGCACTGCTGGGTGTGGACTTCCCCCAAGACAAAGCCACACTTTGCTCCTGGCCCAGGAAAAGGGACTTCTGAGAAACCTCTTAGTATAAACTGTCTTTTTTTTTGGGGGGGGGGGGGCACACACCCAGCGATGTTCGTGGGCTATTCCTGGCTCTGCACTCCAGAATCACTTCTGGTGGTGCTCAGTGGACCCTATATGATGCTTGGGATCGAACCTGGGACCCCTGCAAGCAAGGCAAACACCCTACCCACTGCACTATTGTTCCGGCCCCTTCTAAATTTTCTTCATTATCATCATTGTTGCGGGCCATGCTGTGCCCGGGCTGAACCAGGCTCCATCCAAGCAAGTCACGTGCTCCTCCACTGAGCACACCCCCACCCCTACTTTTCTTCTCAGGCAGAACCAGTCCGAATTGTAGAAAAAGATGTTAAACCTTTCAACGGGCTGAACTGTATCCCTACCTCTGGCCAACACCACATTCAGGTCACAGTACTGTGAAAAATCACGACTCATCGGCCAGCATTTAAACTCAGGCAGTGCACACACCAGTTTATTCTGAAATGCAACACAGGTCGGTTTCTCCTAGGAATACAACTTAGTTCTACATTGTTAACATATCAGGTTAAAACAGCTTCCAAACGCATGCATAGAAAGTTAAGCATGGTCTTTGAACTCCTTATTTCTAAATATACAAAAAATACATTTAAATTATATAATTTTAGTGAATCAAAGACTTATAAAATTACAATTTTGGTTTTCACAACATAGAAAAAATACAAAAACAGGTATATATGTGGTTGTATAATTTTGTACCCAAATTTCAAAGGAGTAGTATGCACTGATTTTGAAGTTTTTTCTTTTCCCTCTGAAACAGAATTGAAAATAATTTACAGGTTGTACCGCATCGATGCCAATCTTTTATTATAAATGAATAATCAAATCAAACCAAACGAAACAAACAGAACACATGGAAATGATACATGTGTCTCTTTAATGATCTTCTAAACCCTTCCTGTTGGAAGTTTGGTCCAGAGAATGTTTTCATCTGGGAGGATGGTGCTTTCATTTTTGACTAACTCTCCGTGGTGCCTTCGATAATGGTCAGTCCATGTTAAATGGATGACCCCTGCCTTCAGAGACACAGCAAGATGCAGCTGTTAAGCTGTGTCTACAAAGCACTCCTGAGGAGCTCAAAGCGTCTGCTGCCCCAGAAAGGCCCCACAGGGGGTTCTGACACATCCCCTCTGACCATGTCCCGGAAACAGATCCAGCTGATGTGACCCCGCCCACACAACACCTCCCTCTGCCACACTGGGTGAGAAGATGCACCGTCAGCTGGTGTTAGGTGGTCTCTGTTCACGGAAGGACAGCCACGGCGTCACAGGGGAAACTAACTCAGGCTAGCTGGAGAGAAAGGGGCCAGTCACTCGGAAGGGACTGGAGATCTGTGTGCCGCCGTGGGCACGCTGCACGGGGGTGTGCCAATACCCACTGCGGTCCAGACCCTTCTGGACATGGGCGCTGCTTGTGGTGTCCTGATGCCCAGTCCAATCTGATGCAGTATCTCACCTGCTGACACTCTTTCATATTGTCAAATTATAACAGGAAGATCTGAATAAAATCCCTCATCCAGCAATCCTGGGACACTTGGATTCTTTATTCCCTCTTCTATTGCTTCCAGAAATGACCCCTAACTAAGAAACGAGGGTATGACTACTTACAACCAAGGAAAGCAATAATAACCCAAACTGCTTCTATTTTATTGTAGAAATATACTTAGGAAAATTAGAAAAAGCATGAAAAATATTTCCCACATATTTTATCAAATACAAGAATAGATTCTAATCTCAACAAGCCCGAGTGAAGAGTGCTGACTTAAAGAAGTGGAATTTTAATGTTTGATTAAAAAAAAATCTATTAGACATCCGCCTGTATTACATCCTAGAAATGCAGTCTCTTCTCATTTTCATCGTATTTTCAAACGTCGATGAAAATAAGCATTTAAAAAATTAATTTTCCATCATGATACCCTGCTGATGTTAGCAATTATACTTTAAGTGATAACAGCTCAGTAAGTTGGTAAGCGAGACTTCACATGTTCAAGATCAACCAATTGAAAGAGAAAAAAAAAAGAAAGGCTCCACATAGAACACTGTTTAAAGTCTAACGCATTATCTAAAGTTCACCCGAATTCTTTCTTGAAGGAGCCTCAAACATGCAGGTGAGCAAGCAGAGAGGGTGAAGACGCACAGGCCTGACACTGGCTGTCGTCATGCCGCAGGGGGACACGGCGCTCTGAGCTCAACTGACACTTCCTGCCTCTGGATCCAGAACTGGGAGGAATCAGACCAGCCAAACCGCACAGACGAGATGACAAAAACTTAAAGACAACAAAGGTGTCAGAAGCCTAGTCTCCGACGTCCCCCGGGCTTCACTTCAGAAGTCAGACTTTCCCCGTGCCTTCAAATGACAGGCACTCCTACGTGACCCACACGAGAAAAGTCACAGGCAAACCCAGATCTTGGAGGTGTTCTGAGAAGCGTGAGGTGAGTCAGCCAGCCATCCCTCACTGGAACGTGTTTCCCCTCTGAGAGTGACCGTCCTGCCCAGGCCGAGTGAGGCCACAGGCTCTCGCACCAAGCACACACACACTCACTAAAGAGCACCAGGCAGCAAGCACTCGGCTGAAAACACATGGAAGGGTTTGAGTCGTTTTCTGGTTATGGGTATACCCCAAGCTTCACAGACATATACATTGCATAATTCATTCACTAGATAGGAAGGGTAGGTCCCAGTCATAATGCACCTTAGAGCATTCCAAAGAACAGTTTGCTGCTTCAAAAAATACAAGTAGTTTCCAGCATGCAGTCAAGCACTTCGTAAAGGGAATGTGAAACACTGCAGACGGCGAGGCTCTCTACCGCGGCCAGCCCGCTCCCGCCGGGGCCCCTCGGCAGCGAGCGCTACGGATCTTTATTTACCAGACATGAAGAAAACAGGAGGGTGGAAATGCCAAATCCCTTTCTAGCGCCATCATAAATATTAGAACTTCTGGCTGAAAGAGCATACTGACATGGACTGGTCGGGATCTTTTATGAACAGATTTTTTTTTTTTTTAAATAAAAAACCCCAGGCCCAGGTGACACTGGATTTTGGTTTCTTCTTCTTCTTCTTCTTCTTCTTCTTCTTCTTCTTCTTCTTCTTTTTTTTTTTAATATTTTAAAAATAGTTCTTATGTATTTTCTATGAAACGACTGGGAACTCAAAAAGTCTGCAGCATTTTTTGATCATTGAAAAGTTTGTTTGTTTGTTTGTTTGTCTTTTGGAGGGCGGAGAAAGGAGGAGGTGCAGGAAGCAGGAGCTATTCAAACTTCTTGTGTTCTTCAGTGTGAGAAAGGACCTTTCTTCTCTGGTGGATCATGTGGAAGTATAACTGGGGGAAAACTGGGAAAAAAGGAGAGAGATGGTTAAGATCACGTAACTGTCTCAGGCTGGAGCGAAGTACAGGGACTAAAGCACTTGTCTTGACACAGCAGCGCTGGTTCGAATCCCCAGCACCTTCAAACCCTGAACACTGCCAGGGGTCACCTCTGAGCAAGCACTCTCGAGCACTGCCAGGTGTGGCCCACCACCTCCTCCCCGCCAACCTGCTACGGTAAATCAAACTGCACGTTCTTGGGCCAGAGCAACGGTGCAGCGGGGAGGGTGCTTGCCTCACCAACCCGGGTTTGGTCCCTGACACCCCATTTGGTTTCCTGAGCACCACCAGGACTGACTGCTAAGTGTGGAGTCAGGAGTAGCCCCTGAGCACCGCTGGGCGCGGGCCAAAAACCAACACCAAAATGAAAAAGAAAATTGTGAGTTCTGTTCTAAGCACGTGGCCTCGAGGTTCTCTGGCTCCCAAGCACCTTTTCGCCCAGCACCAAGGTGGGCCTGCGGGGGTGGGGGGTGGGGCGAGTGGGCAGTGACCCACTCTGCTGTCACGGCCGTCACAGCCACCAAGAAACACTCCCTGTGCTCATGTTACCGCCATGTTTACTCTCTGACTCCACCTCCACAGAATGGACGAGCACGTGGAACGAAGCTGTCATTGTCGCTGAAGCCTCAGACAGGGCAGGCAACATGCTTGGGACCTCACAGCAAAGCCCGGAGGAAGTCGCCAGCAGGCTCTGGGCCCTGGCCTGGCCTAAGCCTCCTCCCACTTCTCACTGCCACCAGCCCTCCTCCCTGCCCCGGGGGCTCCCACAAGTCCTTTGAAGGAAGGTGACGCTTGGCAGAGCAGGGCACAGATGCCGGGACATTCCGTCTGCGCGACGAGCAGGTGCCAACAGAGAAGGGCCCACAGAGAGATGCGGACCTTGGCTTGGGCATTCACCTTCCTCAAAGGACTGGGGCAGGGAGGGGCTGCGGCCTCCCCAGGAGCAGACATGAAGAGGGGAGGGAGGTCACTGGCAACCAACCTGTGGGGCTAGGAGTGCTAGAGTGGGCACGGTGCCAGCCTCCCTCGGCCACAGCCTCCTGCCCAAGCGGCAGTCCTGTGGGAAATGCAGGGTCATGCTACCCGGCCCCCACCAGGGCTCAGTACACGGACACCGCACCCTAAGCAGGACTGGTGGCCACATCCTTTCCTCCCCCGGCCAACAGCAACGGTCTTGATTTTGTTGGACAGTCGGCCCTATATTCCCGGGGAGGTGACTTCTGCCACTGCCAAGTTTTCCCTGATAGCGTCTTCCATGTTTAGTGGGTTCTGCGTTGGCCAAACTCCCAGCTAGCGTGCTATGACAGTGGGTGTGCGAGCTGGGGATGGTGGGCAGGAAGTGGGGTGCAGCCAAGGCCCAGCCCGTGCGCACAACTGCACCGTGAGCTAACGATTTTGGCCGAGAAGATGGAGAATTGGGCAGGCTCTAGAATTGTAATCTGAAAACTAGAAGTGAAGATATAATTAAACGGTAAGGGATGCTAACTGTAATCCTTGAAAATAAAGCGTGGGGCGAAGTCACCTTTCCAGACAGACTTGTAATAAAGGGCAACTGTGCAGAGAAGGGAGCGAGGGGCTGGGCGGCCGGGTGCTGGCCTGGCAGAGGGTCCAAGGCAGGGCAGGAACCACTTCCTAGGTCCTGGGGGGCTGTTGCTAGGAGACGGCCTCGCCAGGCCTGGCGTCACGGGGAGACAGGACGCTTAGCCCTGTAAGGATGCCGGGTTTACCCATATTCCCGAGGCACAGGCTCGACACACTAAGACATGGGGTCTAGGCGGCACCCGCTGGAAGCTTGAAATGTGCCCCCAGGCTGACAAGTGGGGGTGGGGAGGGAACACAGGGACACTGGTGGAGGGAAGACATGATGCTGGAGGTGGGACAGGTGTTGAAATATTATATGCAACCCAACTATCAACAACTTTGTAAATCACAGTTCTTTAACTTAAAAAAAGGGGGGGGGCTGGAGCAATAAAATTTAAAAATAAGCAGGAATAAAACACAATAGAGGGGCTGGAGCAATAGCACAGTGGTAAGGCGTTTGCCTTGCACGCGGCCTATGCAGGTTCCATTCCCAGCATCCCATATGGTCCCCTGGCCACCGCCAGGGGTTATTCCTGAGTGCAGAGCCAGGAGGAACCCCTGTGCATCGCCGGCTGTGACCCACAAAGCAAAAAAAAAAAAAGAGCTTTTGGGTTTCTTGGTGCCCAAGAGAAGCTGAGCCGGAGCCACGGGCTCCTCAGGGTCCTGGTTGCCACCCACCTCTCCTCTGAGCCTCCCCCCTGGCGCACTGGCCCCGTCTGCAAGCAGGACACAGGCAGCTCCTGAAGCCAGCAGCACTGCAGGGGGGTGAGTGCAGCAGAGCGGGCGAGGGGCGCCTTGCTGAGGACCTGCACCCCCGGAGCCCGTCCTCGGGGCCCTGAGCCACCCAGGAGAGGAAAGGTGCTGCACATGGAATCCGTGTTTAGCCTCAACCCCCCGCTACAGAAGCGCTGAAGAAACAAGTGGAGAGAGAAAACCAAATTTGGTCACGAAGACTGCTGGCCAAAGCGCCCTCGCCAAACGCTGGGGCTTCTTCTTATAAATACAGAGTTTTGGAAAGTTGGAAGCGTGCAGTTGGCTGGAATAAGCGGAACAAATTGGTCTCAATATTAACAACCTAAATTACTGAAAACATCCAGAGCAACTGGCTCAGGCCAGAAGCACAGCAGGAACCTGTCAACGACTGAAGAGACTTGAGCAGAGTTGGTCTGGGCTGCCATGTTCGTGTCTGTGTGTGCGCGCGCGCGCGCGCATGCCTGTGTGCATGCGTGGATGTGCGTGTGCGCACCGAATTCAGAGGGAACTGGAATCTTTTGATCTCTCTGAAATCACCTGCTCACTCCTGTTCCAGGAGTTAAGCTGCCTTCAGACAGGACTTCCATAGGCTTTAATCAAGCCTCCCTACGCAAGGAGGCTGAGAACAGAAGGGGACCAGGGGTGGGGTGGGGAGGGAGCACACGCCTTAAGAAAGGCAGCTGGGCCCCAGGCTGGTGCTTCTCCTTCCTCGGCGAAGGCCAAGGAGGGAAATTCCGCAGCACCTGCCTCCCTTCAGGGCACTGGCTACCGGGGCATCGCAAGGACAAGGAGGGACGAGCCAGCTGCCCCTGGACAGCCATGCTGGCACGACGGCCGCATCCTCGACAGGCCCGAAGTCTTGGAGCACTCGAGGTAGGGTCCCTATTCCGTCGGCACGGCAGCCCCGTGCTTGTTTCCTTTTATGATCCAGTCCCTGCGGCCTTTCCCAGTTACCCTCTACCACAGGCTGAATTTAAGGAAGTCACGGTGCCCCCACCCCAGTATAATCAGCCACTCTGGCTTTGGCAGGGCTGCAACTGGGAATTGTTGCTCTGGAAACTGGAGAATGAGGCTCTGAGAGAACAAAATTAGAAAGGTGAAAAACCAAACGTTAATTTTTTTTGTGGCTTACATTTTTAGACTCTTCCACATTTATCTTTTGTTTTAAAAATCAGCTACCTTTTGTGTTTCCAGAGAAATGGCCTTTAGCCACCCCGGCTCAGGCTCCAAAGAGGAGGACTTGATAATTAATTAAGAGTGGAAAATGAATCATGGAGTAGAACTGGATCCAGGAGTTTTTCCAAGATAAACTTTCACAAGAAATCTGGATTTTTTTTTTCTCACAGTGCATGAAATGCAATTTCCCACAGAGGGACACAAACCATGTCGCTTATGACTGTTCGGGTGACTGACTCGCTTCAGGCTGTGGGCTGAAGAAAAAGCCAACTCTCTTGTCTGGATCTAACTTGAGCTTTAAGGAAGACTATAGGATCGTGTGGATGAAAATAAAATTTCGGAACCCGATGGCTACAGAAATGGACAAGGAAGAGGAAATGTTAACGCAGGACCTTGTGTAGAACAAGAACCTTTCAGGTATCTGGAAGTCAGTCAGAGACTTCAACTCAACTTCAGGACGCCAGAAAGGGAATCAACCTCTCTTCCTCGGCCAAGAAGACTCACCCCATAAAAACCTCAAAAGTGGCCTTTCCCCCTTGGTTACAAAGTCAGCTTACAGGCACTCTGGTCGTCTGCGTTATTTAAACCTTAAGCTGTGCGAGCGAAATAACTGGAAGTCATCCTGAAGGGAACAGCACGTTCCTTCACATGGCCTCAGTGCTCATTTCCAAACAAGGAAATAAGAAAAATATATACATATAAATCTATTTTTATTTTGTTATTTGTTTCTTGTTAACTAGTATTGAGTCTTTAAAAATGAAGTAACTGTCTTTTTGAATACAGTAAACAATGCAAAAAATATTTTTACAGTGTTTTTCAAATACCAAAACACTTTTTTCTCAGGAGAGAGTTGAGGTACAGTCATTAATGGGCTTGGGGGATTTTGGTTGTTGTTGTTTTCTTTTGTTTCCTACCCAGTACTTTCCCTCTGTATATACTTAACCTCTCCCGGTACTCACCATTTCAAACCCACACACGATCAAGGGCTACATTTTGGCAGCTGCACTGAAAAGGGTTCATCTTTATTCAATTACTGGCAGAGAACATTCCCCCTGACAACCACCCGTTCAATAAAAACCAATGCATTTCCAATATGTCAGATTTTACTTGGATAGAATGTAAAAACCAAAGACACTTAATTCCAGCTATTTAGGAAAAAAAATTGTTGAAAAATCATAAATAGACATACGTGCATAATTGTTTACTTACGTGGGATGTAGGAGATCATGACCAGTATTAGGAATGCATAATAGTCAAAGGAGAAATTGTATTTGTTAGGCAAACTGATGGAGTACAGGCCAGCCTGTCTGACAAAGGGCAGAGCAGCATATATTGTGAGTAATTCTCCTGACACGCCCATGGGGTACAGCACAATGAAAAGTGTGTACCTAAAACAAAACAGAATATTCGTTACTGAGGCTCGCAGCCCGGTCGCAGGAGACACACTCCCACCCTCCTGCTGAGTACCGGTCCTTCAGAAAGCTACTGCTAAGAGATCTTCCTGCTTCCCCACTGTTAATTCAGACTTTGGCAAAGCGCTTACTGGAAAGGGCCCACCGCAGATACATTTCTGAATGTTCTAAGGAAAGCAAGTGTGTTCAGTCAGCCTCAGAATCTGTCCTGATTCAACAAGCAATTTTTCAAAATAAGTCCCTGAAAGGTCGAAAGTGCTGCCAAGTGCACTTGAGAAGGAGGCCCCCATCACGGTGCACACAGCCCCGGAGCAGGGGAGCTGGGGGCGCCGAAGGTAGAAGGCGTCTGGAGTGGAGTGTCCAGGAATCCCCTCGACCCCCATCCCAGAGTTGTCTGTGGACTAAAAAAAGGGGGGGAAAAATAAAAAATATCTAGCATATCCAATTGTGTCCGCTGCAACAGTTTTGCTAATGTCTGTATAAGCTGTTGTGGTGAAAAGTGAAATACGTGCTAATTACAGAATTATATTCACAATAGCTTTTGCTCATATTGTTATTCAATTAAAAAAACTATAATTATAATCACACGACAGAACCCACACAATTTTTTCTGACGGGGGAGGAGGCCTCCCAAGCAGTGCCATGGGGCCAGAATTGACCTTGGTCCACTTGGCCAAGCGGGTGAGATGGCGCAAGGCTCAGCCCAGGGGCGCAGTGATGTCTGGGCCCGGCAGTCCTGGCAGTCCTGGTGGAGCACACTATGCCTGGGGCACGGGGAGGGGCCTTCACGCCCGCAGGGCACGTGCTCCAGCTCTCTGCCATTTCCCTGGCTTTCTGCAAAATTAGTCCCCCCCAAAAGGAAAATCATCTTTCAAAAAAGAACCCGGATAGCCGTGCCACGAAGCAAACTGAGCGCCTCTGCCAGAAGCACGGCGTCGGTTCGGGTGTCCAAGGGCCCGACGGTCATCTATGGTGGCCAGGGACACTGGTGCAGGAACTGCGGCAAGGGGTAGCCACGTGGCCGCTGCCCCCGCAGCCACGCTGGGCGGGCCGGGGAGGGCCGGGTCTCCACAGGCCTGGACACAGCCGAGAGACCCACCAACAGCGGAGGCAGGGCTCTGCCTCGCACACGGCTTCCACACCAGCTGCCCGCCGGTCAGGAGCCGCTTCGGCTTCTCACTCTTCCCCTTTCCGAGCGAAGGCAGTTTCTATCAAAACAAAACCCCAGGGGAAGAAAAGAAGAAAGGAACAAAACAGAACAGGAAAATGGCGCTCGCATCCTTTCAGTGCGAGAACACTGCAGGCCCGGCTCTGTCCTCTGCGGGCCCGGCACTCCGACTGGGGCAACGTCCATCCCCCTCACTCCGACTGGGGCGATGTTCGTTCCCTTCCCTTTTCACTCCTCCCTGTAGTCTCTCCCAGCTTAGAAAACTGCTCGCGAGTATGTCATGGATTAACGCAGGTCAATGGAAGAACTACTACTGGTTTTTTTTTAACCTAATTCATAACAAATATATTAGCAAAAATAATCAGAGCAAAATAAAAGTATGCTAAAACTGCCCTGTAACATTTGCTATTAATTAAACTTCATTGAGGGGCCAAGGGGCAGCATCACAGGATCAGGCCGAGTGCATGCCTGCACACAGGAGGCCTCCGGAGCGCCGCGGGCAGCAGCCAGAGCCCGAGCACTGAGGTGGGAGCATCCCTCAGGACCTCCAAGTATGGCCAAAATCCAAAAGAAAAAAAAAACTGAGGGCTGGCTGGAGAGGAAGGTCAGGGGCATAATACTCGGCATGTATCGGAGCGAAGGTCCCCTCCAAACTTGAGTGCTCTCCCCCACTCTACCCCCACTCTCCGCCCACCACCAAATTAAACTCTGCCAGCCAGAGAGTGACTGTGTGATGGCAAACCAAGAGCCAGTGACTTTAACTTGGTCTAATACCACTAGGGCAGAGAACCACGAGCAAAACTTCATATGGACAAAAAAGGGCATTCCATCCAGTTTCTCATCAAATAATTGATCTGAGAGCAATTGATGCAATTAAAAAAAAAACCCTACACTTTAAAGAATTTGAAATAATGCTTCCATTAGTCGAAGTTAAAGAGAGACCCTTAACTGAGGTGACCCACAAACCAGACCTCTACCCGGCCCCTGTCGCACACTCGGAGGCAACACAACGGGTAATTCCAAAAGTTTGTCTTCGTCCCAGGAACTTCTTTACCTGGCCCATTTGATGAGGTAAGGCAGATGGTTTAAAAGGCTGAACGTATAAAAGGAGTAGCGGATAATCTCTGTGATCGTCCAGGCAATGACAAACAGGAGGACACTGTCTTCGCTCTGGACCTGAGGGCAGGGAAGCAGAAGCAGAGGCAACACGTGAGCCGGTTCCTGAGCACGCATTCCTGCAGCGCTGGGCTGGGGGAGTCGGGCCACCGTCCCGCTCTCTAGCCAAGGCTGCTGGGACACAGCCCCAAGGAAGACGAGTCTGAGACGACACTGCAAGGACCCGGTGATGGGGGGTAGGAAGGAGCTCCGTGTACTAAGGGACTCAGTACTAACAAGAAACAAACAAGACGGGGGAGCTTTCATATGTTCGCCTGCAGGTTTGACTGGGGGGGGGGAGGGGGGAATTACCTCCGTTAGTTTACTCTGGAAGAGCAAACTGGGGAAAACTCAAGGCCCATTAACAAGAACTTTAAGTAGCTTTTGTATGACAACGAGGAATCTGAAGCATCTTCAGAGGGGAATATGGTGGCTGAAACACATCTGAAGCCTCCCTGTGTAGGCTGAATCAAGGGAAGCAAGAAGAAGAGACTAAGTATGAGGCAGGAGCTCCTTGTTTTCCCAACGGGGCTGCCCGACTCGGCCTTTAGCTTGAGGATCACAGTAACGTCCATGCTGTTCACAGTGGTCAGACACAGAACTTTGGGATTCTGAGTCTTTCACGAAACTGTTTCCTTGTGGTGTGTGTATGTTGTTGGGGATCAACCTTGATTCAAACTATGTGCTTTACCCCAGCAAGAGACTGCTTCGGAGCCACGCCTGGCTCTGTAGCCAGGGGTCATTCCCATAGGCGCTTGGGAACTGTGTGGTGTCAGGGCCTGACCCAGGGCTCCAGCACACAGAACACACACCCAGTCTGTTCAATTATCTCTCCAGGCTCAAAAGTGAGGAAAAAACAAACACACAAACAAAACCACCCTTTAACTTATTTAGACTTTAAAAAAAATTGTTTTTTGAGTCAAACCCAAGGTATTCAGGGTTACTCCTGGCTCTGCACTCAAGGATAACTCCTGATAGGAGGCCACATGGACTGCTGGGGACTGAATCTGGGTCTGACCCCTGCAAAGAACTTTTAAATAAACATGTACTTACTTGGTTTCCTGGGGTATGGTCTTATAAGATGTCTTAGGATGCAAATCTTACAGGAAAATTTATTACTGTGGTATTAAGCTCAACATTTTCCCACCTCCCTAATCAGCTAGGTTTAATAATGCACCTAGGTACTTGAAAACCAACAATTAAAAACAACCTTGCACCCCGAGCTAAATTTCTTGCATCCAAACAGTGCAGTCTGGAGCTGAAGAGATAGTGCAGGAGGTAAGGCCTGGCCTGGCCTGTGTGCAGCCGGCCCCATCCCGTCCCTGGCGTCACACCTAGTACCCCCAGCACTGCCAGGAGTGATCCCCGACACGCAGAACCAGTAAGTACTGAGCACAGCTTAGTACAGTCACTTCCTCAGCCCTCCAAACTTGAGTAACAAAAGTGCAGTTAAGAGTTTGATCTGGATAAGAATTTCAAGACAATCGGAACCATTTCTAGGACATAATGGATCTATTCTGTCTCTCTGAACACCCAGCACAGCAAAGGTGCGGGCTTGCTAACCGTAACTTTTGCTTCTTTGCATTTGTAATGTTAATAGTTTTTAGCACTTATATTCTTCAGAAAGTGTACATGGAGCAATCCACCTACACAGTGAAATAAGTAGTCATTTACATACCTATTAACTAAATTGCCCTGACAAAGAACTTCATAAATGCACAGTTACTATTCTCTAAAAATAATCCGAATTTTATACCGTCAAGAGCAAGAGAACTTTTTGTTTTCCTGGCGCTCATATTAGCCAGAGTGAAGTGGAAGCGAAAACCCTCTAAAGCTTTCATGTCTCATTTTTCACTCTTTTCCCCAATCTTTGCTTAAAACCCATCTGCACTAATATGTCATTTCAGGGCATTCTTTACTTTTTTTGACGTATTTTGTAATCCTTCTCATCTTAAGGAGATATGTTTTTACAGCCATGGGCTAAAGATCTGGGTTATAATAAGAAGTTCTAATATTTTGCATTTGACCACCTTGACAGCAGATAATGTGTTTTATTCATCTTTCAATTCTCAAAAACACTTTGTTTTTTTTCATGAGTAAGTAAGAGCAAAAAAGTGTGAAACAAAATAAGTGTTTGTGAATTCATTTGTGATCAGACCACCCCAAGACTCGGTTCCCTGCTTTTGGAGAGCTGGCATTTGTCTCAGGGAATTCTTAAGACTTTCAAAGAGACACACAAGCCACCCAGCATGCTCAACCCCATTCTCCTACTCACGTCCACTTCTGATTCTAGAGATTATTTGATTTCATGCCCCTTCCCCTGTTGGACTTCAATCAGAATTAAGACCAACTCAGGCTTGAGCTGAGTGTGAAAGCTCTGGGCTCAAAGTAAGGCTGTGCAGATCATGTCACAATTTTAAAAGAATGAGCATGGGGCCAAGGAAACTTTCAGATCAACTGGAAATGTAACACTGTTATTCAGAGAGGCTCCAGTCAGAAACCAAGGTGACGGGACCTGCAGATAATTATCCAATGACACCAAGCAGGGGCAGAAGGGAATCGGTTAAAACTGCAAGATTAGTTGGAAGTGATCACTTTGGATAACAACGGAATGCTGGAAGTAGGCAAAGGAACAAAAAGGGTAACTTCTCAGTACCTGTACTGCAAACCCTAATGCCCCAAGGAGAAGGGGGAGGGGGAGCAGAGGGGAGGGGGCGGGGAGTGCTGCGGAGAAAGGCTGCAGGGGTGGGGGGACTGGGGACATTGGTGGTGGGAAATGCATACTGGTGGAGGGATGGGTGCTGGAACCCTCTAGCAGTGAAATCTGATCACGAGCTGCTTTGTGACCTTCTCACGGTGATTCACTGAATAAACAAACCGGGAGCTCACTGGGATGCAGCCGCTTCCCAAGATTCACAGCAGCCAGAATGTGGGGCGGCTCTTAGTCCACCAACAGCTGGAAATACGGCATCTACACAGAATGGACACTTATTCGCCCTCCAAAGGGGCTGAAGTTCCGGGTGAGAGACAGCGCCCCGGGTTTGATCCCAGGTACACGTGGTTCCTGAGCGTCACTGGGAGTGAAGGAAGAGTCCACTGCTCCGGCAACTGCTGGATGTGGTGTAACCCCCTCCTAGAATCTGAAGAGGAATGAAACTAGCTGCCTTGCAGGAGCGGAATTTATTTCAGCTGGGAAAGAGAACAAAGGTAAACTTTCAGAGCGCTTCTACTCCTCTTTCGGGTAGGGGCGGTCTGGTGAGGCTTGGGAACCACATGGGACTGGCAACATGCAAGGAGAGAGTCCGTGGTTTTCGGATCACACCCAGCGACGCTCAGGGAGCACTCCTGGAGACGCTCAGCGGAGCAGTGGTGCTGAGGACAGACTCTGAGAGGCACGTGCTCCAGCCCTCGGAGCGTGGCTCTAGTCCCTAACAGGCATTATTCAAAGTAAGTTCTCCAGGGCTAGAGACGTAGTGTAGCAGATTAAGACATTCACCTTGCATGCAGCCAATGTTTGATCCCTGGCACTGCCTATGTGGCCCACAAACAAACAAAACCCCCAAAACAAAAAAATTTTTCTTTTTGCCTTCAAAAAGGCAAAAGTGGATAGAATCCTTAAAAACGCCCTTTCGGCATCGCTTGCTGAGTGTGCAGAATGGGGGAATTCCCCTGTCTTCTGTCTTCCCTGCTGACAGGAAGGTCTTCTAGGGGGCCGTGTCTCATGTCAAGGCTCGCCCAGACTCCAGAACCCTCTTGGATGCAAAGATAATGCGAGTCCTTTTATTGAACAATACTTGCACTTCCCCCCCCTTTTTTTTTAAATGAAAGCAGGTACGAGGAACATTTTACTAACTAGTGAGCCAGAGTCTCCTTCTCAAGGGCCAGTGATGCAGAGACAAAGAATCAATGGCTGCAGTCTCACAGAAGCGAGGGGTAAAGGCCGTGTGGTTTTGGAGATTTTTTTTGAGGGTCAAAGAATTAGGATTATTAAAAAGGTCAGTTCAGTTCAGCAGCTTTTAACATTAGAGACTGGAAACATAATTTTTTTTCCTTTTTGGGTCACACCCGGCGATGCCCAGGGGTTACTCCCGGCTCACGCACTCAGGAATTGCTCCTGGCGGTGCTCCGGGGAACATATGGGGTGCTGGGAACCGAACCTGTGCCGGCCACGTTGGCTGCGTGCGAGGCAAACGCCTTACTTGCTGTGCTAGCGCTCCAGCCCCTAGAAACATGGTTTTTATTAATTAGGAAGAACCAAAGTTTTAATATGTCCACAAAGTTTGCAGGTAAAGCCGTCAAAGCAGCATCACTTAGTTCTAAGAGCTAAAAGGCAAAAACCAGAAACTTTTAAAAAGGGAATGTCCAGCAACTGATAAGTAGATAAGTAATTATACCTCTAAAACTAAATTCTATCCAGCAACACAAACAAAAAAACATTGACGTATCGATGCACCCTACAACTGATGAGTGCAGAGGCCAGACAAACAGACAGGCCTAATCTTACGTATGTGCAAGTCCGAGAGACAGAGGTCAACCTAACGGGTGCCAGGGACTGTGTGCGGAAGGGGAATTCACGAAGGCACTTACTGTGGAGATGGAGATTTCTAAAGTTGCATTAAGGGACAGCTGTCCAACTGGTAAATATTTTTTAAAAGCACTGAATTAAAAATGAATAAACAGTATGACATTTAAGTCCTACCACCACGGTCACTGTAGCACTGTCCTCCTGCTGTTCATCGATTTGCTCGAGCAGGCCCAGTAATCAAACCCGGGTCGGCTGCATGAAGTCTCCAGCATGAGACTTCTTGTTACTGTGTTTGGCATATCGAATACGTCATGGGGAGCTTGCCCGGCTTTGCCGTGCGGGCTAGATACTCTTGGTAGCTTACCGGGTTCTCCGAGAGGGGCGGAGGAATCGAACCTGACTCGAGCAAGCCGGCCATACGCAAGGCAAACGCCCTGCCGCTGTGCTATGGCTCCAGCCTACCAAAGCTTTTTTTTTTTTTAATGTTTATTTAAAA